CGAGCCATCCTCTGGTTTGTGTCTCCCCAGCCCACGCAGTTCTCAGCGCTGCTTCAGGCATTGCCGTGCCTGAAAGCATGGGTCAGCTACGAGTGTCCTTGACGTGCGTACTGTTGACACTTCAGGCTTGTGTACTTGTCAGGCTGGGACAAAAACACTGCTGCTCAGTGCTAGTGGGTGGTTGTGTGCCAGTCTGCGCTAACACAAATTACACCACCCGCTTTAGGTTTAAAGGTTTTCATCCTCTTCCTGCTGTGGACCTCTAAAAATGAGATCCTGACTCTTCCGCAATGAGCTTCATTTTCCTGCTAAGACTGCCGTGGCTGCTGCTTACAGACCAGGAATTCTTCCTGCTTTTTGTCCTGGAGCCTGCTGCCCACAGCGTGGAAAGGATAGGTCTGGAAGCAAGGCAGGGGTCTGGCTGCGAGGCGGTGACCATGGTGACGTTAGCCCTGTGCCTGCGTTACTGAGCCAGACAGACCCGCGCTTGTGCTGATGGGTCTTGACATTTGGCAACAGAAAATGCTGCCTTGTGAAGGTATGCTGCAGTTTAGTCTTCTCAGAAAATATTTTTAAACTATTGCTTTCAGGTCGTCGGGAGGCTCTGTAAAGGTGATGTAGGGTTTCATACACGTCCATCAATTTTAGTCACGCTGAAAGATCAGAACTGAAAAGTAGGCTGAGCAGCGCTGCTCAGCGCGGTGCTGGTTTGAAGCGTGGCTACCTGGGGAGGGCACGTACTGCCCCGAGGGCTCCGTCGAGCTCGCTGTTCCGTGTACTGGAAGGGAGACTTACAAAGACTAACTTGTCAGCTCAAGCAAGAGTGAAGCACAAATGAAAATAACCTATCCATTAGTCCCGTGAGGAAGATGAGTTATAATTAGTTGCAAAGCTAATTTTAAACTATTAAAAACCACTATTAAAAGTGAAGAGTGAAGCTATTAAGATGCAGATGTGTGTCGATAAAAGTATGTATTATTAAAGCAGCTGTTGAGGGAAGCTGGGAGCCTTTTGCTGTATTTCGCCCAGCTTTCACAGGCCTCTTGCCTTGACTGGAAAAGAAAAAAACATTGCAACTTCTTTCTGTGTGCTTCCCCCTCGTTAGGAGCCGTGTGTCCCAGCCCAGCGCCAGGCCGGGCTGGCCGTGCTCTGGCTCCCGGGCTGGGCAGCGGGAGGGCGATTGCGGAGCTTCTCGTCTGTATTGCAGTAGCAGGAACTGAGAACTTCTGCCGGGTGTGGCTGGAGCCAGCCTGCTGCATCTGCTGGCGGGGTGCACGGTTTGCCCCTTTTCTGGGGCCTCCAGAGTGCAGCTGGCAAGTGAAACTGGGATCCACAGAGAAGTCTGAGGTTTGACAATTAATTTGAACGCAGCTCATTTTTAGCCAAACTCCCCCTGCCATCTTAACTTGAGTAGGAGTACTTTCGTTTTTTTAATTCCCATTTTTTAATGGGAGGACTATTAAAACTGATCTTCACTATTAACAAGATCAGAGTGCTTTTAAATCCTGTAATGACCCTGCACTTTAAAAAGAACTTCTAAGTTTTTGCAGGATTTTTTTTGTTTGCTTTTTACTCCAAATATTCTACATATGTCCAACCAATGGGGAGCTTATAGTATACTTAGAAATCATCCTAGGGTCTGGAATCCCCCTAGCCCCTTTTTTTTTTAATCAAATTCTTATATTCAAATATTTTTTTGACTTTTAAAAATAAGCCTACAAATACTATCAATATGCTGTTTCTAAAACAAAACTTCCCAACATTTTGCCTTCCTATTCTGCTCAGTTTTAAGGCTTGTTTTTTGAAGTACGTTCCCTCAAATTTTACTTCTGTTCCACCTTTGAACAGAACACGCATTGAAATACTTTCAGTCTTTCACAATGCAGTTGTTCTTTTTTTGCAAAGCTGTTTTACAGTGTTCCTTTTACAGAGGAAACATTTCAGTAACTACACTGAACTTTTTAAAAACTCGATTCTATGGGTATATTTTCCCTCTAGTCTCAGTGGAAGAAAAAGGCCTTTCTGCCTAGCTCCGCTGCCTAAAAGTCTTACCTTGCTTCAGTCTGCGCCTTTTCAAAGTCCTAAGCAAATGCCAGAAGGGTACGGTATTTGCTTTCTGCAAACACAAAGTACAGTTACATGTTTAGTTCATCAAAACTCAGTATTTCACAGCTGAGAGCTCACAAGCAAGATAAGAAATGATGACATTCGTAGCTTATAATGTACTAAGATCCAAAGTTTTATTTATTTCCTCAGTGCACTGTTTTCACAGAACAAGCACCTGCAACTCCTCCATGCAGCCGTGCCCTCAGCATGCCAGGAAGGCCGGAGCGAGGAAATGACTCGGGGAAATGAACAGCCAGGATTTGTGTGAGCCGCGGCGGAGGGGTTTCCGCACCCCTCGCTGCCCCGGACAGCAGCAGAAGGCAAGGCTACTTCACACTGACTACACCTGAAAAGCAGCCGCCAAAATTCAGCTGGTGTCCCGAAGCATGCTCCCTTGTCAGTTAGGAGGAACGGAGTGCAGCTTTCTCTCTGCGCATACCCCCAAATACAGAATCACAGAATGGTCTGGGTTGGAAGGGACCTCTGTGGGTCACCCAGAGCAGGCTGCACAGCACCGCGTCCAGGCGGAATATCTCCAGAGAAGGAGACTCCACAGCCTCCCTGGGCAGCCTGGGCCAGGGCTCCGTCACCCTCAGAGGGAAGAAGTTCTTCCTCATGTTCAGCTGGAACTTTCTCTGCTTCAGTTTGTGCCCATTGCCCCTTGTCCTGTCGCTGGGCACCACTGAAAAGAGTCTGGCCCCATCCTCCTGACACCCACCCTGCAGATATTTATAGGCATTTATAAGGTCCCCTCTCAGCCTTCTCTTCTCCAGGCTAAACAAGCCCAGCTCCCTCAGCCTCTCCTCGTAGGAGAGATGCTCCAGTCCCTTCATCATCGTACGCAGATTGTGTCCAGGTTCTGGTGAGGGCGAGAGGGCTGCCAGGACTCCACAGCCTTGAGGCTGAAGGGAATTACTTTGTGATTTTGAATCTGCTGTCTTTTTCTTTGGAGAGGTGAACTTGCTCACCTTGGCCCAAGGACAGGAGGCAGAAGTTCTCGCAGTTGTGCGGCCCTTGTTTACAGGCAGTAGGGTCTCAGGTGGCCCAAAGCATCTGGCTGAAAAAAGACAGACCTGAAACGTGGAGCTCATCATCTTTGGAACCCCGGTAGGTTTTTTCCCCATTGGACCATGGAGGGCTGAAACCTTTTCTTCTGCAGTCTGTGCCTGGGACAGGGCTGTGAAACCTGCTGCTGTGAGAGAAAGATGCTTTATTCACCCTTCTCCCGGGGGGTAACGGTGCAAAACCTTCTTTGATACATTCATCCTAGGTTAGCAAAAGCAAAGGGAAACTTGAAAGCCCAGCAGAAACGCGGGCCTCTGGGGTCTGGTGTGTCACCTGGTGCTGTGCCTGCTACAGATTGCCCCCTCGAGCCCCTCTGCATGGCCCTGCTTCTCTGAAAGCATAAAAATGGGATTTTATCCTTATAATCGATTTCAGTTATGTTTAGTACCCACCTCAACTATCCATTCGTCATTTACTGGCAATTCACTGTTCTGTGAGTTTATGACTACAACCTTTTTAATACGTGTTTGAGTGCTCCGAGAGACTTACAAGGGAAATTGAATTAAAACCAAAAGCGGGCCCTGCTCTTGTACCCACGTGGAGTTTTCAGTCCGGCCCTGCAGAACCCCCCCCAGGGCCAGGGAAGCTCTCAAAGCAGCTGTCAGGCAGCGGCAGGTACTTCTCCACATGGCCTGTTCCCATCTACTGAGTGACCAACGCGCAGCTCAGCCTGCGCTAACAGCGCCGAGGGTCGTAAGCATTGCTGAAGTTGTAAGTTGTTACAGCAGTCGTAGTTTCGCTGCTGAACAGTTCGCTAGATTGAGCGTTGGAGTCTGCCAGTGTTTTATAGTGTTTTTAATTCTCCGAACAGAATAGGCGCATCATTAACTGACTTAGTTTTGGAATATCCAAGTTTGTTCCCTGCTTTTAACACATATCAGTTGCAGTGCTTAGCAACTCTTTAAAATAAAAAGCCATACAAAATTCTCATATTCAGAATGGCCAAAGCAGTAAATAGATTAGTAACTTGTGTAAAAGTTACTACCAATGAATAAATAAAGCTGTTGCTCTTGACAAGGCAGCACCACGGATTGTGCGAACAATAGCGAGGTGCATCATCTCCTCTGGCACTCCAGCATGCGGGAGTGACTGGAACACTTTCAGAGGGCAGCGATTTGCAGCACTGTGCAGCGCACGTCCTGAACCGCACCGCTGTGCAGCTGCAACAGGCACGGTCATGCGCGGTGGAAGCGTTTGGCGGCTGAAGGAATCCAAGAAGTCCTGTTACAATCAGCTTCAGAGAGGTGATTTATTTCAGTTGGAAACCAATGCTAGAAGAAAGCTTTTCACTGACCCTACCCGTAGTACCACAGCAGGCTCTATCAGACAGAAGTTAAACCAGTTGCATTTTCCCAAACCCCAGTGCAAGCCACCAGACGCAGAAGGCTCCTCTCGCCATGCTCAGCAGCAGCGAAGTAACAGATCTCAGCTGATCCAAACAGGACCAAACACGAGGAGAGGCGGTGTGACCAGGCACACTTCACAAGGCGCCCGAGGTGTGTCTAGATTTTGGCAGGGAAACGAGGTTTTCGATCCACGTGGCACTAAGGCCCGCAGGGTCAGCAGCTCAGGAGAGCAGTCCACCTTTAAAGTGTGATGGCAGCTGGATTTACGGTAAGAGACATGACTGCAGCAAAACTGCGCAGGACAAAATTGCACCTTTGACTTCGCAACTAAATAGGATCAACACCTTCTAATAATGTGGCTCTAGGTACTTCACATCTAGTGGTACGTCACTTCCCTAAAGAACGTATGTAGTCTACAGTACCAAGCCAGAAACAAAATGAAGGTGAACCACATTCAGTTCAAAAAGAAAAAGTGCATTCGATTCAACAAACATCACTACTGAAAAATTTCATTTTTAGGTTGTGTGTAGTGAAAATGTGCTTCTTCCTTGGGACTGTTATATATTGCATGTTTCCATCTGATGAGGTGGTTTTCAAGAGGAGGTTACAGGTGAAAAGGTGACGGTGTCTGGAATCCGGTGACACAGAAAGCTGAGTGAAAAATCAAAAATGAAGTTAATTTTTTTTTTCCATCCTACAGTAAGTTAATCACTTAGCATATTTCAATCTAATTTTTACACAGATTTCATGAAAATTAAATTATCAGAAGGGAAAAAAAGAAGACATAACTAGAAAGATAAATGGAAAACATCCCACTATATGATTTAGCTTGCGTACAAATTAGAAATGGCAACATAGATTTCCTAACGAGCTTTACTTCGAGACACAAGCTGCAGGTCTTGTTCCTTCCCTTCAGAGGTAACTCCAGAAAAATACTGTCCACTTACCTTAACTTTACATCATGACTCTTTTTACTTTTACTCCTTCTGCAGCTACCTGGAACCACTTCTCCTTTGCCTAAACCCTGTCCCGTGTTTTACACGTTTCCAAGTGCATGTCAGCCACTGTGATCCCACTCGGGTACTCATGGAAGAAAGCAGAACTGAATTCTGAAGGAACAGGCTGGACAGCCTCTTCTGGCTTGCTTTCTCAATTCTCCAGCCTAACATCTCTTATGTACGAGGTTCCCAGAACAGTGCCCACCTCCACTGTCCAAAGCAGTAAACAGAATAAAACACAGCAATGAAAGTGTGCCTCAAACTGTGCATCTCCACAGCAACAACAGTCATTCCAGTTTGTTCTCCACTGAGGAAGGGACCTTGTGATAAGAACAGTCACCCAAAATACTCTGTTAAAAACAGAACGTGACTGATTGTTTTTAAAGCAATGGGGAATGACAGAATTTTCCTTTCAGCTTGCATTGCTTTAGCAAGAAAGAAACAGAGCTTATTAAGACCTGTTTGACCAAAGACATAAATGCACTAACAACAAAGTATTTCGATTTTGTTCCTCTGTATGTTTTGTAACACAGCTTAAAAATAGTAATGTTCTCAAATCTTTATAATTATAACATCGGTTCTGCCTTCCTCCTTAAGTAGCTCCTGTTTTCTCCTCAAGTGAACAAACAAAATCTGAATCATTCTGAGTATCTGAAACGCAAGTCTGAATGCAATTTCTTCTCTACCAGCTTTGCTTCTAAGGTCTCCCTTCCCGTGTATTTTAGGAGTGAGTTACCATCATCATTCTCAGTGACTGACTTGTTGATCCTTCTACAGACAGGCTAATTCTCCTTTGTCATCAGAGCATTCTGACGGGATTTTATGTATCGCTGCTCCCTCTCAACCAATGAGTAATTTGGCCTAAAAGCCAGCTGGTGTAATGAATTACCTTGTATTTCAGTATCCCCCCCATTATGTTGCTTTGCATTTGGTACCTTATATTGTACCTTTTCTAAAGCTGTCAGACAGGTTTCAAAGAGTAAAAAGCAACTCCACATCCAAACAATGATACCAGGACCAAACAATGACATGAGGACATATGCTAGAACAGCTGGCTACAGCACAGAGGAACACGGGAAACACAGGCTGTGATTCTTTGAAGTACTTACCTTCAGAGCGATTCTTACCTTGGTCTGGATCAGTGCTTTGCAGTCATTAATACCGAATCCATCAAATCTGAAGTCCTCATTGTCTTTAACATTCGATTCCTCAAAAAAGTCATCCTGGCTCTCCGAAAAGTCCTAATAAAACGTCATTTGCATTTTCTTTATGCATTTCTATCTGATCTCAAAGCATATAACCTAAAGAGAAGTTTCCCTCAGGTAACAATAACTACTAGATTTTACTTTCTGAAACTGTATTTTGATTTATCATGTGCCCCCCTTGCATTAAACAATTTTATGCCAAAACAAGTTCTACATACATGAATCTAATTGTGATTTAAATTAATAAAAAAGCCATTTCCAATTAAAATTAGCCTTAACCTACACCAGAAAATAGCCGAGAAATACATCTCCATCAGTAATGTTAAAAACAATGCAATTTTCCAGTACTAGAAAAGAAGTAATGGCAAAAGTTTAAGCTGCTTGGGCATGGATTTAATGCTGGTGCATCTATGGGCAAGACAGGAACAGAAGGGAGTTTAACTATGTTGGAGAAATGCCTCCCATTCTCTCCTGTTAAGTGTCAGTTCTATAAAAGTGACTTTCAAGTGCAGAATAGGTCCTATACCTTCAGCAGATCTATTCTGTTTGTATATGACTTGCATGAAAGGTCACGTATGTCCATAAAATGAAAGCCACACGCAGCATCCCACCCCTCATGCTTCAGCAATCAAATTATCAATTGAAACAGTTACTTCTGGAAACCACACGTGACTCATCCATCCCAACTAAATAACCAAGTTGAATACTAAACCATCTCCAATAGCTTTATCTTCTCAGAACAAGAGAAGGCTCCAGGGTGACCTTACAGCGGCCTTCCAGTACCTGAAAGGGCCTGCAGGAAGGACGGAGAGGGGCTTTTCATAAGAGTGTGTAGGGATAGGACCAGGGGGAACGGCTCTAAACTAAAAGAGGGCAGATTTAGATTGGATATTAGGAAGAAATTCTTCACCATGAGGGTGGTGAGGCCCTGCTTCAGGTTGCCCAGAGAAGCTGTGGCTGCCCCCTCCCTGGCAGTGTTCAAGGCCAGGCTGGATGGAGCTCTGAGCAGCCTGGGCTGGCAGAAGATGTCCCTGCTCATGGCAGGGGGGTTGGAACCAGATGATCTTTAAGGTCCCTTCCAACCCAAACCATTCTATGATTCTAATATTAAACAGAGACATTTCTTTCTGAGACCCTCTAATACAGCTGGTTTGTTCCCCATTCCATTTAAAACATACTCCTCTTCCTCAAGCCTTGCAAAACCAGAATAATCTGAGGAAAAGGGAAGTGCAACACACTTTCGGTTCGTATACAGTAAAAACATCCAGTAATTACTTTAACAGCCTCTCTGATTTAAATCGGATTTTCACTTAATGGAAATATATTAGAGGCTAACAATTTTCTCATAGTCTGAGCAAAAAAGTAAACCATCTTACCGCATGCACATCTGAAAGCTAATTCTCCATCTATACTAAGGCCGAACGTACCACCTAATGTAACAGGGCGCTTCATAATGGAGACTTCAATGTCAAGACGATCAAAATTTGATCCTGCACAATTTTGTAGTTACTTACGCATAATGATGCAAAAACACTGGACTATCATTTCAAAAGGCTCTCTGTAAAAAAACTTCTGACTCACTCCAATCTGGTTCCTCATGCACCTACACGTACAGCTTGCAGAAAATCAGGTTCATAACCTAGTGTTTATGCTGGCATACTAGCAAACTGTTGTTCAATTACCTTTTGATTTGCATCTATTCCAAGAACACTCAAGAGGTTTTCTTGGCAATGAGATTTACTCCAGGGATGTCTTAAGCTGGGGGTGTTATCAAAGTCTCTAAGTGTTCTCCATATGTTTCCAGAATCAATGCTAGGGAAGAAAACACAGTCTAAGGTTATAAGGTGTACAAAGTTTCCCGTGAATGTATATAACTTAGTTATTTTCGCTACATACAGTTGTGTACTAGCCTACCTTGATTAAAAAGCAACTTAGCTTAAAACTCTTTCTACGTTTGCTCAAACTATCAGCCTGATGTAGTAATGAGCCTGCATGACAATTGACGGAAACAGTAAGTCAACATCACTTCCTGTTTGGGCTTCTCAGATAGGAAGCGCATTAGAAGCGTATTTCAGAGACCATAATACGCCAACAGCTTGCGTTATTCAATTGCGCCTGCGAAACACGGGTAGAGTTCAGCCCTATCAGTTCTGCCCTTTGCATTCTCTGTCCCTCAAACCTTTCCCCTTCCTTCTCCAGGGCAGCAGCCCGCTGCTCGGCTGGGCAACCTGCATCTGCTCTGGACACGCGGGCACTACACAACAAGCCAAAGGCACACGCTGCTGGAACAGTGAGAATTAGAGAGTTCCCTCTACGTCGTACTTTGGGTCCCTACACTGCATTCATCCTGTATAAACCCAGGTGTGCCTTCTGCTTAGTTAGTACAGGATGCACTTCTCATTCACCTCAGTTACTCACCACAGTAATCAGGGCTCCTTGGTCTGTAGTTGGTACTCTGCTATAATATTGCAGTGCCTTGTACATATATATCACATTTCTCCACAGGTTTGAGGCTGATGAAAATATAATACATATGCAAGGAGCTTGCTGAAAGAACGCCCGCATTAAATGTTTTCACTACGTTTCTTGTGATTCCTGCAACATTTCCAAACTATGGTGTGACCCAGATTTCTAGATGGAAAGCCTCAGGTGTATCCAAAAGTAACTACAATACTGTTCCGTAACTCCAATACTGCTCAGAAGCTGCCGATCCTTCAGAAACACGTAACAAATCTAAAAGCATGCCCGCTGTCTTAGCAGAAAGCTAAGTTAATGTCGCTAATTGCTACTAACGTAATGCCAGGAAAGAACCCAGATGCACCACAGGCTCTGAGGCGCATCTGGTTAAACCTGAGAAGAAGTTACCACCTGGGAAAACAGGGTAAAAAAACCCAGACGAGTGGGTTGTCAGTAGAAGCAGCGGCAACGCTGCTGCCTCAGACGACGGAGAAATTGGTCAGATGTGTTGCAAAGCAAGGACAAGCGAACAGGAAGGACAGGCTGCCTGTCGGGTGTTCTGGCATTCCAGAGGCTTAGTCATGAGGAGGCACACCAACAGCAGGAAAAACCCTAAGCAGGAATTTGTAATTTTGATATATTCCCTTCCTTGTTTTCCAATGGCTAAAACACAGTCCATTTCCTTTAACGACACAATACAAAACTGGTAAGATCTACGTGCTGAAGAACATAGTGATTTAAAATATTTTTAAGTTCACCTGCAAGTAAAGTTCAGGAATCCCATCATCTTCATTATTTGCATCAAGTACTTGATCTAAGCTTCTTATGCTCTCTCTGGACTGTGATACAAAGACGTCTGGAAAGCTCAACTTAAATATATCCTCATAGCTGTGGTTTGCCTAGAAAAAACAGAGTTTTATTACATATGTTATACAGGCCATCCCCACAGTTCATGAAGGACCTAGGCCAAAGACTGCAATGTTTCTAGAGACTGTATTATTGCTTGTTTTTAAAATTTCTATTACTATTAATGGCACAGAGGGACTGAGCCCACAGTTCACCGTTTTGAGTGTTTACCCAGAATTAGAGGAGGAGAAGCGAGAGTCCAAGAGTTTCTGGTGAACCTTTGCCTCTAGCTTCCCAGCTAATAAGTTGTAGCCTGGTTTGCCTGTTAGCACTCAAGACTCCTTCTTCTGCTCAGCTAATTTAATCCAGGTCAAAACCGATGTATACATGAATTCAAAAGCTTGTTTTGCTAACTTAGTATTCAAACACACCTAATTCAGACAAATGTAACATAACTACTAAATGCTATCGTTACCAATAAATACTTGCACTGTGCAACTCCGCGTAAAAGCTGCAGTGAGTATGTCTCTGTATCCTTGCATTTGCACTAAACTTTTTCCAGCCTATGTTAAAAATCAGAACCTGATTTACACACTTGCTCCTCCTCCAGCAGCGATGAGGAGGAGGTTTGGAGGACTGGGCATCACCACTTGAGTGATCCAAAAGGACCCCTGGAAATAACAGGGTTATCTGAAGACTAAGAAATACATATGCAAAGAAAAATGTGCATAATTTACTTCCTGTCCTAAAGGAATGTTATCATGCCATCTGGTCGAGAAGCTTTATCCTTTTATTCCTTCAAAGCAGGAATTACTGCAATTTTCTAAATCAAAGCAATTAATTGACTCCAACACCCTGCAGAGGAACTGCGATCCAGGAGCAGCAATGTTGTGTGAAAATCAGAGAGTGAAACCAGTTTGTTTTCTTTGCCTAGCAATCAGCAATTTAATCTGAAATACATAGGTATGGATACTTCATATTCTGACAGGTTCGCTTAATTGTATTATTACAACAGCTGAAACGAATGGAGGTATTTCCACAGGTTCATTGCACTGAACTCAGGCAAATGCAGTGAATATTGAGAGCACAGACTTAATCTAATGGGCGAATGGGCAAAATCAGAGCTGGTGGAAGGCTTCTGTACTTCTGAGCATCCCTCTAGAAATGGAATTTGTGCCCCGCGCGGCTCCTGAAGGAAGGCCTTGCCAAACCGCCCATCCTGACGGGCGACTGCCGGCACATTCAGAGGCTCCCGGGTAAAATCCTTTGTGTTATAATATTTTAAATCAATTTGTAAATTATTCCAGCAGACTTCACTTACAACAGGGATACTGTACGGAGGAGAAAAATGTCTGAGAAGCAGAATTCTGTGAAAGCACACGACAAAGCGTACCTGGAGAGTCACCTTCCAGGAAAACACAAACCTCCAAACAGGGACCAAAACCTGAGTGGGACGGGGAGCTACAGAACAGTCAGGCACCGGCTCCTGGCTTTGGGGTGGGGGGGAAATTACCGCCGCAGAAGTGTGAACCCAGAGAAGCACAGGTCTGCCTTGTTTGTAACATTTTCTTGGAGCCTGTGACGTTCCCCCGACATGCACACAAGTCCCTGGTGTTTAGTTTAGCCAAGCCAGATGAAAAGCCCAATTTGCAGGAAAAATGCAAGATTTTTTTTGTGTTATTACTGTCTACTTCAGTGGGTGTTTCTAAAACAAAATTTGGGTATATTTTCGTTTAGCTTGTAGCTTTGTACTGATCATAAAAATATGAATGCACAAATTTCACATCTGTGCTTTCTGAATAAATCCTCTATATCCTATTATATCAGAACACTCCAGTGCTTAAGTAAGTGCACTAGGCCCTCTCACAATGGCCAGCATTTAAAGAACACACACAAAAAAAATCCTTATTCAGTCATATAGGCAAAGTATCCAGCTACTGCAAGGAAATTAGTGATTGTTTTCATCTTAAAATACATCATTCTGCTCCAGACTGACATCATTTAATTAACTGAAGCATGAGATATTGAAGGTCCGGCCTCTGACTTCAGACAATCTCTCAAGGTCCCTTCCAACCTACCTGGACTTTTTTCTACGGGCCGTGCAGCAGACAGAGCCCCAAACCTGAGGAGTTTATGCTCTCAACCAACCGACACAAAAAGCCAGGGATGAAGGACCAGTTACACATATATTTTACACTCAAAGAAACGTCCAACAGCTCTGCGGCTATTCCTCTACCCTGGGACAAGAAAAGACAACTTGAATCTCTAGGCATGGTAAACTTCTTTAGCTCGTACTGGACCTTTCCTTTTGCTTTTATTAAATGCAAAAATAAAGCAAAGCTTTCAGCAAGATGAAGACCTGCTGCCTCCGGAAAGAAACCAAGCAACGCGCTATACGCTATTTCAGCTCCAGTCATTACCTGCTCTCTTTTTTCCACATAAGACTTCTCGTCCCACATTTTCCAGCATTGTGAACAATTTAAATTCTCTGTTTATGCATACCCATAACCAGGTATCTCGTGATCTCCGCGCCATCAGTGCTGGTCAGCTTACCCCACCCGCACCTTTGCGCCCTCCTTCGTAATACCTACTCAGCAGGTGAAGTTCCCGGGCAAGGGCAAGCAAGCCCATCTCCAGAAGCCCCTCAGCTCCCGACACGCAATACAACTCAACCAGCAGACTACAAGCAGTAAGCTATTACTGCCACTGATTAACTCCGTGGAAGTCTTAGTTGATTGCTCTCTTTCTTCAAATGTTTTGATTTAGGATGAAAGTAGTAAGAATGAGGGCGGGTTTGTTTGTACATTCTTATTTCCCTTTTGTTACTTTGCTTAGCTTTGGTGATGCATGTTTGGTAAACATGGAAACATATTAATTGCAACAAGGTATAACCCTTAACCTGAACATTGTTTTTTGTGCCAAAAAGGACACATTGTGTTATTTATTCAGATTATTACTTCTAACATTGTATGAGAGAATGTAACATCCCATGCTAGAAAACGAATGATATTATTTCTTTTTTTTATGTCATAAACTTCCACCCACAATCAGTCTAAAATTCCAGAACGACTGTTGGATTATTCAGGCAGTACATTAAACAACAAAAGTTGTTGTTTTTCCCAATTTCTAACTCAATTTTATACTGGTTTACTTCAATAAGCTTGCAGGCAGCTCACAGAATTTTTGCCCGCTCTGTTTTTGTTACCCACCTTCCCGATTTTTTGTTTGCTATGCTCATTCTTGTCTAGCTTTTACATCACACGTGCTTTGGGGCAAGGTTCATTGTTTCTACGTGCTTACTTATTCCTTGTGTCTAGGAGGAAAGAGGCGCACTGCGTTCTTCAAAGCTCTCAAGCAGGATAACTCAAGCATTTGTCAAACACCGTAAGGAAGTTGCTTTCGTTCCACTTGAGTTAGCTGCAAAGGAGCAGGAGGGTTTCTCTCCCTGCACAGCATTATCCTCCACAGAGGAGACACTCAGGCACAAATCCTGAGACGCAGGAAGCAGTAACCCAAACACTTCTGGCCTTCGGTTTACTATTAACGCATACCTCATGTAGCAAGCTCCAAGCCTCCCGTGTCCCACTGTGCAGAGACGGCTCAGAGCAAAAGCGACCGGCAGAAGTGCCGCTGGCTCCGCTGCGTAAGTCCGCGTCGCCTCTAGAACTTTTTGTTGACTTCACCGAAACTTCAAGATTGTGACTGAATCTCTCCGATTCGTCCAAGGACTCCCTGAAGCTTTCAAAATCACCCCAGGACCCGCTGGGTTCCGAGCTGCTCTCACCAACCCCCCCACAGCTTCTCCCTTTGCTATTCACCGCGGGGAGGCTTTGCTGCGTTACTTTAACATTAACGATTTCTTCATTATTTGTCCTTTCATTCGAGTTACGGGCACTTTCATCGAGAGCCACATCACCTCCTTCAGCTACTAGGTCTTTTAGAGACATCAGGTGAGACGTGTCTGTATCAGTGAGACTTTCCATTAGCGACAAGTTCTGCATCTTCGTTTAAGAAAAACCGGTTTGTTGAAATCTGCACCACAAGGAAGGCTACTGAAGTTCAGCCGCATTAGAAATCTGAATATTTCCACAACAGAACCAAATTCTTCGTTTCACCCCAAAGAATGACAGCGCTGCTAGACCAAAGCAGGACGTCCCTCAGGCTCTCCCCCGGCCGTCGGAGTTCAGCCGCATTAGAAATCTGAATATTTCCACAACAGAACCAAATTCTTCGTTTCACCCCAAAGAATGACAGCGCTGCTAGACCAAAGCAGGACGTCCCTCAGGCTCTCCCCCGGCCGTCGGCCCACGCGCGGTGGACTCCGTCTCGCTGTCTGGCTGGGACGTTCGCCTGCAGAGGAGGAATTAGAGATGGACACTTCTGTGATAAGGGCTGTGCGGGAACACAGACCGGCAGCCGCCAC